AGACAGACTTGATATTGCCGGCCAACTGTTCCGAGCACTTCGCTATGCGTTCCGAATCGGCCGACTTCCCCATGACCGCCCTCGCGCGCGTGTCCTTGTAAGTCGATGCCACCTTCAAGAACGGGAACCTAAACTCGCTCACGTCCAGGGGTAGGTCCTTCAACTGCGTCTACAGCTTGCCTCGGTTGACCGTGTTCGCGTGACCGACTCCGTCTTCTTCGTTCTCAAGGCCCTCTATGAAGCCCTCAGGTCTGAGCCAGTCTTCCCTTCGGCTCTGAGCTTCGGCACGTTCATCCAGGCTCGAACTCTTTTCTTCGTTTTGATAAGGAGCTGTGGGGCCACTGACACGAGGATCGTCGTCATCAAGAGGCAGTCTGTCTGGCGATGGCGCATCCCGAGGTTCAGCGGCATCTTCATCATGACTGGAACAAGCAACTGCACCTCCTTGACCCGCATCTCGTCGAGGTCGGCGAAGGCACTCTCGTCCAGCAGTTTCTTGTACCTCGCCACTTGATCTCCACTGCCTCGTCGTCCTCTCTGTCGTTTGCTGCCTCCTGCCGACCCTTCCGCCTGGCCCCTCTTCGCGTAGCCGTTTTCCACCTCCATCGGGACGGGTGATGCATGGAGCATCGCAGTGGAAGGCTGGCAGCGGCTGTGGGAGGTGCCTAGCTAGATGGTCGTCATGGCGCTCCTCTGAGTCAAATGCCTGCGGGAAGCAGGGGCACAAACAGATTGTGATGGGGATCGCGTCATAGTACATGGGATCTCTACCGTAGGTGTACGCTTTCATTAGGTGTCTGAGGGCCGTGTCTTTATATTTAAAGGGGGGACCTACACGCGACGCACTGATCAATTACAGTCAGTTTGGACAGGAGGCTCCCATTCTCGTGCTGACCCTCAAAGGCGTTTTCTGATGTGCGAGAAGCGATCGTTTGCTTTGAAAGCGGCGGCCACAGGCAAGGCCGCTCTCACAGCCAACACACGTAGTCGCCTTCGGCGACCTCGTCAGGTTCAGACTCGAGCTCGGCCGGTGCCGGCGGTCTGGAACTCTGCGAGGCACACCTGCTGCCCAACTGCTGCGGCCTGTCCGTGGCGTTGGGAGCCCCCGAGCCCAGCACGACTTCAAGCCGGTCAGGCCCGTGGGAATGGGACTGTGGGCCGAGAGGCGCCATCGCCAGCAGCAGCCCTCTTCCCGTGTGGCTGCCCGTGCCCATCCCGGTCCGTGGCGCCAGCGCGTGCCCGCTGGGGAGGAGTGCACGCTGCGTGCCCGGAGGGTGCGCCTCTGCGATCTCCGCGGAGTTGGCGAGCCGCCTCCGCCTCGGCCTCTCGGAGCACGCGCACCGCGTCCGCCACCCTCTCCGTAGCGCGGCTGCTGGTCTCCACGGCATGGCCAAGGAGTGCGCACGTGCGGTCGAGCCGCCCCTCGTTCACAGACCCGCCCAGCCCCTTGGGGCGTGAGTGGTGCAGCGAGTTTCCCCTTTGCAACCCCCTCCTTCCCCGTTCGGGGCAAGGCTTACCCCTCCCTTGCCGTCGCTCGGACGTCCATTTCCCGTGCTTTTTTGGTTTCGTGCGTGTTTTTTGCTCGATGGTCCAGGATGGTCCTCGATGGCCCCCGCCGAGAAAAAATGCACACGTCCGAGCGATGCCAAGCTCCCCACACTCCCTCCCCTGGACCTGGACATGGCGCCCCGCGGCCCATTGGAGCGGCGAGGAGGCACAGAGCATCGATTTCCCTCGGGTTGTGGACCCATTTTGGAATTCTGGGGGGGGGGGGGGCGGGGGGGCGGCTAATTGACCGTCCCCTCCCTTGATCGAACTCCTCCTAAGTGGCTCCAAGATGGACCCCAAAGCCCAGGAGGCCCGAAGAAGCCCCCAAAAGGTCCCCAAGAGGCTCCACGGAGACCCCCAAGAGGCCCCAAATGGCTCCCCCGAGGCACCCAAGACGCTCCAAGGGGCCCCCAGAACCGACAAGAGGCCCCTGAGACGCCCCAAGAGATCTCCAAGGAGCTCCCTAGAGTCATCCGAAACGACTCCGAGGCATCCAAGAGGCATCTGGCCTTTCTGCTCGCCCGCCTCCTCCTCCTCCTCCTCCTCCTCCTCCTCCTCCCCTCCTCCTCCTCCTCCGCCTCCTCCTCGTCATCAGCATCAGCATCAGCATCAGCATCAGCAGCATCAGCATCAGCATCATCATCTCATCATCATCATCTCATCATCATCATCATCATCATCATCATCATCATCAGCATCATCATCATCATCATCATCATCATCATCATCATCATCATCATCATATCATCATCATCAGCAGCAGCAGCATCAGCATCATCATCATATCATATCATATCATATCAGATCATATCAGATCATATCATATCATATCATATCATATCATCATCATCATCATCGTCATCATCATCATCGTAATCATCATCATCATCATCACCACCATCATGATCATCACCTCCATCATCATAATCATCATCATCAGCAGCAGCATTATCATCACCATCAACATCATAATCATCAGCATCATCAGCATCGTCATCATCATAATGATTATCACCATCATCACCCGCGTATGCATCCTCCTTCTCCCTGTTCCCTCCAGCCCCGCCCACCTCCCCCTCCCCCTCCTCCATTCCTTCTCCTCCTATATAACTTCTCCCTGTCGCACCCCGAGGCCAGATTTTAGGGCGGGCCGGGCGATTCGCCTGAGACTTCCTCACCACTTGCGACCCTGAAGCTTTAAGAGTGACAAGAGTTTCACAGATGAGGGGCGGGTGGTTTTCAAAATGTGGCTCTCGCCTTAGCGCCGCACGCATTCGATTTAAAAGTTTGCAGTATCTTCACGGATTGAGGGCGGGTCGTTTTCAAAATGTGGCTCTCGCTCTAGCGCCGCGCACATTCGTTTTAAAGATTTGCAAAATCTTCACGGATTGAGGGCGGGTCGTTTTCAAAATGTGGCTCTCGCCTTAGCGCAGCGCACATTCTTTGTAAAAAAATGCAAGGGCTTCACGGATTGAAGGCGGTTCCTTTTTTAAATGTGGCTCTCGCCTTAGCGCCGCGCACATTCGTCTTCACTATCTGCAAGAGTTCCACGGATTCCCATAATCAACGTACCAGAAATAGTGTTTTGGAAGGATTCAGGATGATGCGTGTGCAGCAGTTATGCTGATTCGCGGTGTCGAAGTGCCAAACATGGCGCTCTGGCACGATTCTGGATCGTCAAGACGCGGCAGTCAGGTTGAAAAGTGGCGTTGAAATCCAGAGAACAATGTTTTGGCATGCCTCAGGGTCTTCCAACGGTTTTCTTCCAATGAGGGTTCCCTCAATGAAAATGAACCGTTGTGGGGGCCTACGACGAGGCAGCTTGGAGGGAGGGTTAATTCCAACATCGTTGATGACTCTTGGTTTTACACAGGTCTTCCTCCTCCCCCTCCTCTTCCTCCTCCTCCGATTCTTCCTCTTCATCCTCCATCCACCGCCTCTTGGGGTATGACGACGTCCCAAGCGCTTGATTGCACGTCTTGCTGATCAGGGCAACTCGCCAGGGCAACGTGTCTGAATGGGCTGGTGGGATTACGCGACGCGACTAGAAATTGTGCTCGAAGCTCGGGTAGATCTTACGGGTTTGCCGCGTGCTCCGTTGCACGTACCTGCCCAACGATTACTGCGCTCGTCTGTTGATGCGTACCAGCTGGCGAACGGGACCTCCCTCGAGCTGTCGCAGGCGTGCCGCGATGGACTTTGTCACCGCCCACCAGTCGGACCTGTGAATTTGAGCACGGAGCGTTATGCAAAGGGAGGACGTTCTTGCCTCACACACGTTTGTGCGATACGCCCCATCACTTCGGCCATAGGTTGCGCAATGCGTATATCAATTCCAAAAGCTCGTCGATCTTGCTGAGTGGGTATCCAGTCCCTATGTGGCATTTGTTGTACGCTCTCCACCAAAACCATAAAGATGCATGAACTCATAGCGCTGCTCCACGTCATCCCTTGATAACTTCGTGTGCTTCGACTCGAAAATGTTGATTTTAACTCCACCATTTGGTTTTGATGTGTTTCCAACACCAAATATGTGAATGGTGTTTCGTCGATGACATCCACCATGACGAACCCGATATGTGACTGAATACTTATGATGAAACCGTGGATTGCGGTCTCCCCTTCCTTGATCGTTTCATACGCGACGCGCCTCACAAGAAAGGGCGTCATCCCGACTCAATTCATCACTGCTGATATTATCACGACCGTTTGTCATGCAAAGTGTCCGCCCGACGATCTTTTCCACAGATACAACCTTGGAAACTTCGATAACTTTCTCGACGTAATGACATTCGGGTACCTCAACATACCAAGATGTCCCTTACTGATGTACCTGTGGGGAACGGCATCTCGAAGGAAGGGGAATCGGGAGCTCTGCTGATGGGCGCCATCATCTTAAAGTTCTTTTTCTTCCTCCAAGACAATCCTCTGGTGGCCATCTCCTCGATAAAACCCTGCAACATCATCCTGAATGAGGAGGAGACGAAGAGCAAGAAGAGGAGGACAAAATGAGGACGGCAAAGATGAAAACAAGAATCCGCTCAAAACAACACCCTTCACCCCTCCAGGGGGCCATCCTGGCCCCTCTTGTCGGGAAGCGCCCAGCCGTGGCGACAGGGGGGGGGCCCGAGGGCCTGAGAACGAGGAAGACAAGGGGGGGAGGAGGAAGACAGGAAGAGGAGGAGAAGGAGGAGGGGTTGGAGGAGGAGGAGGAGGAGGAGGAGGGGCGAAGTCCGTGAAAGTCTAGGGATGTCTGGAAGCATGCGGAAGTCCCCAGAGGTCACCGGAAGTCTGTAGAGGTCCACGGAGGTCCCCAGAGGTCGATGGAGGTCCCCAGGAGGCCCAAGGAAGTGTGCATGGAGGTCCCTGGAAGGCCCCCGAGGTCCGTAGAGGGCCCCAGAAATCCCTCCAGAGGCTTCCAGAGGCCTCCAGAGGCCTCGAGGCGAAGACACCCTCGAGGCCACCGCGTCGCCGGCGCCTGCGACACGAAGGCGCTGGTGCTCGAGCCCAGCGCCGCGAGCCCCGCGCTGAGCTGCTCCACGGGCCCGATGGAGCCGGCGGCACCCGCCAAGCGAGGCGCCTCCGCAGGGAGTGAAGAGGGCTCTCGCCTCGTCAGTCCTCGTCGGTCGCCGCTGTCGCCGCCGCCCTGCTCCTCCTCCTGCTCCTGATCCTCCTCCTCCTCCTCCTCGTCCTCCTCCTCCTCCTCCTCCTCCTCATCCTCCTCCTCCTCCTCCCTCTCCTCTCCTCCTCCTCCTCCTCCTCCTCCTCCTCCACCTCCTCCCCATCCACCTCCTCCTCCTCCTCCTCCTCCTCCTCCTCCTCTTCCTCCTCCTCCGCCTCCTCCTTTCCTCTTCCTTATAATAACTCGTTGCATCCAGGGACGGGTCGGTAGGGCGGGCTGGGCGCTTCGCCCGAGACTTCCTCACCTTTTACTATAGCTTAAAGTTCGCAGCAGCTTCACGGATGGAGGGCGGGACGTTCTCAACACGTGGCTCTCGCGTGAGCGCCGCGCACGTCTGTCTTGAAAATGTTATCATATCTTCACGGATGGAGGGCGGGGCGTTGTAGGCCACGATGTAGGGCTGTCAGGTCGCAACAATGACGTTAACTCGCGTTTTTGACGCCGCGTTGTGGCACGGTTGAGGACCGTCAGGTCACAGCAGTAGCGTTGATTCGCGGCGTTGAAGTCCCAGAAATGGTACTCTGGCGCGGTCAAAGATGTTCAGACGGTTGTCTTCCAACGGGGCTCTCCCCGCAGAGGGGCTCTCCTGTAAGAGCCTGGAAGAGGGAACTTGGAGGGCAGGTCCATCGCAGCATTGTTGATGAGTCTTGGGTCCACACTGGTCCTCCTCCTCCTCCTCCTCCTCCTCCTCCTCCTCCTCCTCCTCCTCCTCCTCCTCCTCCCCCATCCCTGCAGGTATATAGCGAGCGTGCCATCGCGGCGGCCGAATAGCAGGTCAAGATGGTCCGAGAATCTGCAACGACGGCCGGCTGTGCAAGATGAAGCGCCGCCCACCGAAACTTCCCGAGATGCCGCACTGCTGTGCAGTGTGGTCGCTCGCTCCTCCTCCCCCTCCTCCACCACCTCCTCCTTTCCTTCCTCCTCCTCCCTCCTCCTCCTCCTCCTCCTCCTCCTCCTCCTCCTCCAGCTCCTCCTCCTCCTCCTCCTCCATCCCTCGTCACTGTCCGACACCATGTCGTAGGCACTTAATGAGCTGTCCTCGAGTCCCGTTGCGTTTTCTGTGTTGAGTATTCGAAACGACCTGTCAGGGCCCCAGTTCTTCAATTGCAGGATCTCTCTGGGCGTCTCGCGTGATTTCTCCTGGAGTGAAAAATCCTGTATCCACAAATCGCGTTTTCTTAGCCAAGGTGCCTCTTGAGAGTGATCGGCATGCGCATTCGGTGTCGACGTCGAGTTGTTCGTCATCGTCGTCGTCCTCCCCCTCCTCCTCCTGCTCCTCCTCCTCCTTCTCCTCCCCCTCCTCCTCCTCCTCCTCCTCCTCCTCCTCCTTCTCCTCCTTCTCCTCCTTCTCCTCCTCCTCCTTCTCCACATCAGAATCACCATCAGCATCAGCATCATCATCATCAGCAGCAGCAGCAGCATCATCATCATCATCATCATCATCATCATCATCATCAGCATCATCATCATCATCATCATCATCATCATCATCATCACCATCATCACCTTCATTAGCAGCAGCATCATCGACATCATCAGCACCAGCATCCTCATCATCATCCTCATCCTCATCCTCATCCTCATCCTCATCTTACTCCTTCCTCCTCCTCCTCCTCCTCATGTTCCTCCCCCTCCTCTTCCTTTTCCTCCTTCTCCTTCTAGCATAGTCACCATCAGCATCATCATCAGCATCATCACCATCAGCATCACAATCATCATCTGCAGCATCATCATCACCATCATCAGCATCAGCATCCGAATCCTCATCCTCATCCTCATCCTGGTCCTCCTCCTTCTCTACTCCTCCTCATCCTCCTCCTCCTCCTCCTCCTCCTCCTTCTCCTCCTCATCCTCCTCCTCGTCCTCATCCTTCTCGTCCTCCTCCTCCTTCTCATCCTCCTCTTCCTCCTCCTCCTCCTCCTCATCATCATCATCATCATCATCCATCTCTTCCTCCTCCTCCTCCTCCTCCTTCTCCTCCTCATCCTCGCTCCTTTTCTTCTCCGCTTCATCCGCCTCATCAGAAATACCAGGGATGCCTTCGCATTCTCGATGCCTGTGCATTCTCGATGTAGTTTGGGCATGGCCACGTATTCCTCCTGCAGTATTCCTCTGTCCTCCTCCCTCTCCTCCCCCATCCTGCCTCCTCCCTACTCACCGCGTTCTCGCTTGAGACACCTCCATAATTTGCTCAAGTATGGCGCTCCCTCCTGAGACGCCCCTGCAATTTACCCAGGAATCGTGATCGCGCCTCGGCGCTGGCCTCCTCCGTCGGGCCAGGGGCAACCAAGTCGACAACAGAAATCCCCCCGCCCTCCTCCCTCTCCAAGCCCAGAGTTTCGAGGATTTCTCAGGCGAAACGGGCTGGAACACCGCGCGCGCGACGTCTCGGAGCGCAGAGTTGCGAAGACGTTTCAAGCGAAATGGGAAAAAACACCTTGCGCACATCTTCTCAGAGCCCAGTTGCGAGAATGTTTCAGGCGAAGTAGACTGAACCGCCTCTCGCGCGGCAACTCGAAGCCCAGAGGTGCGAGGATGCCTTGAGCGGATCGCGCTGGGGCACCTCGCGCGCAGCATCTCGGAGTCCAAAGCTGCGACGATGTCTCCGGCGAAACGGACCAGACCACCTCGCGCGCAGCATCTCGGAACTCAGAGCTGCAAGGATGTCTCCAGCGAAACGGGCTGGACCATTTCTCGCACGGCACCTCGAAACCCAGAGTTGCGCGGATGCCTCCGGCGAAATGACCGATACCTGCACCTCGCGCGCGGCCTTTTCGGAGCTCACGTTCTGCCGGCCCCGGGCGGGCCTGGCGGCCTCATGGCGCCGAGAGGGTCACGAGAAGCGCCAGCACGAGCTCTGCCCCTGGCCGCCAGAGGCCTGAGCCAAGGCAAAATACGCACCCCAAACCAAGCAAAACTCGATGCTCGAACCTCGAGGTGGGCGGGCGGAGCTCGGCCCGCGGCCGCGCGAGTGCCCCCGGGCCGGCCAGCGAGGCCTCCACGGGCCGCACCAGCTCGTCCCCGCCGTGAGCCCGCACGCTGACCTGAGCGCCGCGGCCGGGGCGAGGAAAGACGGGGGGCGAGAAAGGATGATGATGATGATGATGATGATGATGATGATGATGATGACGATGATGATGATGATGATGATGATGATGATGATGACGATGATGATGATGATGATGGTGATGATGGTGATGATGATGATAATGGTGATGACAATGATGATGATGATGGTGATGGAGATGGTGATGATGATGCTGATGATGATGACGATGATGATGATGATAATGATGGTGGTGATGATGATGATGAAGAAAATACTGACGATGACATTGATGATGATGGTGACACTGACGATGGTGGTGGTGATGATGATCGTGACGACGACGATGGTGATGGTGATGATGGTGGTGATAATGATGGTGGTAATGATGATGATGGTGATGGTGGTGATGATGATGATGACGGGGGTGATGATGGTGGCGAAGATGCTGATGATGATGATAATGATGAAGATCAGGATCATAATCATGATGATGATGATCATGATGATGATGGTGATGGTGATGGTGATGGTTATGGTAGTGGTGATGGTGATGGTGGTGATAACGGTCATGGTGATTATGATGATGGTGGTAATGATGATGGTGATGATGATGATGGCGGTGGTGATGATGGTGGTGATGATAATGATGATTAATGAAGATGATGATGATGATGATGATGATGATGATGATGATGATGATGATGATGACGGTGGTGGTGACGATGATGATGATGTTGATGTTGGTGATGGTGCTGGTGATGATGATATGATGACGATGGTAAAAATCATTGTAATGGTGATGATGGTGGTGGTAATGGTGATGATGATGTTGTTGATCATGATGATGACGAGGATGCTGATGATGCTGATGCTGATGATAGTGATGGTCATGGTGATGGTGATAGTGGTGATGATGGCGGTGGTGGTGATGATCGACCGTAGCCTGGCGTTGTTCGTCCACGGCTGCCGACTTGAAAAAAGAGTGACGGGCGGCAGCTAGGACATCATTAAGCAGCTCCTCGTTGAGCGGCTGACCGAAGGCGCTGGTTGCCTTGGCAATGATATACCCGCGGCGCACGAGAACGCACAGCGAGAGGGCTGATGCGCGAGTCGTCGCACAGATGGCAGAATTGTAATCGTTAGGGGCCACGACGCCCATCGGATGAATGGGAGAGGACGGAAAATAGAAGAGGCGACGCAAGACAGGACAGGCGATGTAGAGAGAAAACGCATCGGCCCCCTCAAGACAACCGAGCAGGCAGGTGGAAGAGCCACAAACATGCACGCGGCACGAGGTGGTCCCGCCTCCCGCGAGCATCTTGAGAGTGAACCATTGCCACGCCGAGCGAGAGGTGCGCAGAGTCACGAAGCACTCCCCCCACCGCACCCCAACCGACCCCACTGACAGCTGCAGCAGACTGAGCCCTTCGCGCGCCGCCGCCGCGGCGGGATGCCAGTGCACGTCAGCGACACCTGCAGCAGGCGAGCGGGCCGTCACGGCCTGGGTGCGCAACGCAATGCCCTGCCGAATGCGACTGCAGTGAGCACTCCAAGTGCCACGCAGCCAAGCCACAAGCGGCAGGTCATGAATCACCTGCTCCGACCATGCATGAAAGTCACCATGCCAATCTGCCACTGAATCATGAGCACAGCGCCAGAGACTGGACATGCTGAGCAGCTGAACAGAAAGAGGCGCGACGAGAGCGTGTTCTTATAGTGCAAACAGATCTGCCTTACAAAACGCGCAATGCGGTAACCGGAGAACTTTGTGCAGGGCGAACTTATCTCTTTGCAGCAGACATTGTAGGATGGGGAGGGGCTGAGCAAGATAGCTGAGCACCGAGCGAGCAGAACTACTGTACAGCAACACAGGCACGAGCGAATTATTCTTGGTCTGGAGGCGCGGATGAGCCAAACGGTCGGCCTCAGAAAACACGAGAAAATCACGCGGCAGCTCAGCAAGGCATGGCTGGACGAAGCCAGCGTCTTCTATACTCCCTCCCACCACCCCACGACAGTGACCCAACGACGACGGCGGGACCTCCCACATCAAACGGCGCAGCGGGCCCATGACAGTGGCCCAGAGAGAGCCAGGGAGCGGGCAGCCCTGCCTCACCCCAGACTGCAAGTAATACACGAACTGCTGATCACAATTGACAGGAGCGAGACTACGCGGTGCATCATAGTAAGCAGAAATCAGGTTGCGAAACCCTTCGGGCAGGCCAAGCCGCGCAAGCACCGCCCAGAGCCAATCATGGCCCAGCGATGGGGGTGCAGTAGCCAATTCGAGCGCAAGAGAGACTGGACAGCCTTGAGCAGTCGACACGCGAGAACTCGAACGCTTCGCAGTGGTGTCGACGCTCGCCGGAATACTCAAGAAGTTGCGACGCTGCAAAAGACTCTGCTGGTCCTCATGCGCGCGCACCTGCACGAGCATCTCATGTTTGTGGTTGGCAGCCGCCGCGAGAATCTTAGAATCCAAATTACGCAGCGATAGAGGCCCAACCTGCGAGGGCTGCCGAAAGCAATCATAAGCACCCGACGGCTCAAAGCCCTTGGAAGAGAACGCAAACATTGAATAAGTCATAGAGAGCGGAGCAAAGTGGCCTGCCGTCAGATGTTTCAGGAGCCCGTGGAGCATGCGGAGCAACTGCTTGATATGGGCAGCAGCCCCAGGAGCGCCCCCAGCGCGCAGTGCTTGTAGCGCCGCCTGAACCGCACGATGTTGAGCTGCAGCCAATTCAGCAGCAAGAAAGGGGCGAAACTGCCGGCTAGAATCATCGTGATGAAGCAATCGAGCCACTCCGTATTCCAGTAGTAGGAGGCGCGATCCCTCTGAAGTGGAGGAGATAAGCAGCACCGCCAACTCAGCGCCTTGCCGCCAGACCACGCGGGAGATGCTCCTCATGGCGATCGATCGGCCATCAACTGCGCGACAATCAAGGGGGCGAAAAGGAGACCGTTGCAGTACATCACGCGTCTGACGAGCCAGCTCGACCAGGAAGTCAATCGCGTAGAGCCACCGCCTTTTAGGGGGGGAGCGATCCAGATTAACGACCGCAATGAACCCGTCCAGAATTACTTTGTACCTAGCGTCGCAGAAGACCACATCAGGGATGCGATGTTCCGCGGCGCGACTAGGAGCCTTGGGGCGCATGGCGAGGCAGAGCATGGAATGGGCGCTCAACCTGGACTGCGCGATCCCCGTGGAGTCAACGTCCACGTTGAAGAGGCCATCGGCGTCCAGGCCATCGGCGTCCAGGAAGAGTTGCTCAGGGATGCGGATAACTGCGCGAACGATCACAGACGCCATGTAGCGCTGCCGCCAGAAGTGAGTGGGGATCGGAGAAAGTATCTCTTGAACGAGGACGACGAGCGGACGCCAGAACGTCACGACAGGCTGGTAGGTGCACGCCGAGGAGAGCGCACTCGACATCGGCGGGGGCTCGCCATAGCTGTAAGCGTAGCCATCTCGAAAGTCGGAGTCACCCATAGCCAGGACTGCGCGCAGCATGGAACCCTCCGCGTTCCAGGTCGCAGCGCCACGCCAGCATTGGTCCAACGCTCGACGATCTAACTATGAAAGAGCATAGTTGTGAACATTGCGAATCCTGAAGACGGCGCCATTGAAGGGGTGAGCCATCTCCAAAGCAGTAACGCGTCCATGGACCAGCGGATGAGGCCGACCCACCAGCCGAGTCTCATCGGGTAATGCCTGCGGCCACGGGACCAAAAAAGCGACGCCGCCCTCGCGCGCAGCCTCGGCCTGGGAGTGGAAGACCATGTATGGGAAGAGAGAGCAGGCTGGCACGGCCTCCAGCTGCAAAGAGACGCCGTGGCTCTCTTGGATGCGCACGATGGCACCCCTCCTCAAGAGCTTCTCGATCTTGCAAGCTTACACCTCCTCCACCGCGGGTGGCAGCAGCACAGGCCACTCGCATTCCTGCTGACCACATACACACCCGAAGAGCTGGGAGAGGAACACCACGGAGACCAGCGGGGGCTAAATGGACCACAGCGAGGTGTCGGTCGCGCGAAAGAGCCGCTGGACCTCGGCGGCGATTGCAGCCTTGTCAATGTTGAACCGTTGTAGAACTTGCCCATCCCACCGAAGCCGCGCGCTGTCAGCAGCAGTAGAGCCAATCTCGAGCGCGACGAGTGGGACCGCATCAATGGAGATAATGCCTTCGTCGCCAACGCGACGGAAGTGATGTTGAGAATGTCGTTCGGAAAGCAAGCGAACCAGACGCTTGGACTGTAGTTCTCGCCTGAGCTGTTTGGGTGATTTGTCTGCGTTGATGTAGAGAGGCGCGATGGCCCCAGACGAATTCGGAGCAGAGAATGTTCTCCACTGACCTCCGTTGCGCAAATTGCGCGCGAGCGAAATACTCCTCGTTGAAGCTGCAGGAAGGACCCCCCAGCACTCGGAGAAAGAACCTACGCGATGGGACATCACCAATGAACTCGACGTCGCTGAGGGAGACACCGGCTGCAGTGATCCATGGCTCCAATGAGCGCCTAACCTCCGCTGGCTCGATAGCCGAGGGCGCTCCGACGCTGAAAAGGCGAGGGTCGGGTGGGCGATTCCATATTGCGAGTGCAGCCATGTCGAGCGGCGGGAGCGTGGCCTGTGCCATGGAGTGAGAGGACTGAATGCGCTCGATGTCCGAACGCATCTGCTGCTGCTCTTGCTCGACGATCTGCGTGCGACAGCCGAGCTCACGGAGACTGGTGTCAAAAGCGTCGATGCGGCCCCGTTGCTGATGCACCTGCGAAATGACCAGCTGGAACTCACTCTGGAGCGCGGTCGTCGCTGACTGCATGATGGCGGTTGCTTCTTGCTGTAGACGTTGCGTGGCCTTCTGCATGTGGTCTGAAGAGACGGCAGAGAGGCGCTCCTCCAAATCGGCAGATCCTGGAACATGTAGCCTCCGATTGTCACGTTCACGAGAGGGTGGAGTCGACCGCTCGAGCATCTGCCAAGGGCCACAATGGTGAAGCGGGTCCTCACCAGATCGTCTCTCTTCGTCAGGAACGGTGGGGCAGTCCTCCCACGCTCGGAATAACTCTGCATCACCTGCTTGATGGTGTCCTGGCTGTTGAAGGCGATGTTGACCGGCGGGTCCTCCTGAAGTGCCCGCGCGGCGATCCACTGGTGTGATCTGTCTGTCGTCACGATGTGCTCTGCGTTGTCGACGTTGACCACGATCGCTGCGGGAACCACTGGCATCACCCTCACGGCGACGCTGCCTACACCGGTCCCGCGCGGGGCTAGAGGAGGACCTCGAGCTGCCGCTTGAAGCCATAGCGAAGAACACTGTCGTGGCCAGAGCAGTGGGACGGGAAGATCCACCTGTAACCGAACGGCAGTGATCTCAATACAACGGAGAAGACAACACGCCAAAATATGGAAGATATGGAACCCTGGCGGGCGGCAGCTCGCCCCTGAGTGTAGCTGCATGAACGAATAAGGACTGGGTTGGAGTGGGAGCCTACCCCGCTTAGGCAGTGAAAAGAACAACCTTGGCTACTTGAGCCAAAATGGCTACGGACGGTGATAGTGATGATGGTGGCGATGCTGATAATGATGGTGGTCATGATGATGATGATGATGATGATGATGATGATGATGGTGATGATGGTGATGATGATGATGATGATGATGATGGTGATGATGATGATGATGATGATGATGATGATGATGATGATGATGATGATGATGATGATGATGATGATGATGATGATGATGATGATGATGATGATGCTGATGCTGATGCTGATGCTGATGCTGATGCTGATGCTGATGTTGATGGTGGTGTTGATGATGGTGGTGATGATGATGGTGATGATGATGATGGTGATGATGATGCTGATGATGAAGAGGAGGAAGGGCGAGAAAGGAGGAAAAAGATGAGCGAGGAGCGAGAACTGTGCGTAAGGAGGAGTAGGAGCGACGAGGTAGGATGATGAGGAGGAGGAGGAGGAGGAGGAGGAGGAGGACGAAGAGGAGCAGGAGAAGGAGGAGGAGGAGCGAAGAGGGAGGAGGAGAAGGAGAGGAGGAGGAGGAGCGACGAGGGAGGATGAGGAGGAGGAGGCGGAGAAGGAGGAGGAGGGGTCGAGGATCGTGGGTCGAGGTTTTTGACGGTTTGGGGCGTACTTTTGGGCCTCCTGGGGCGCCCCCGTCGCCACGGCTGGGCTCCCCTCGAAATTCTGGCCAGAACGCACCCCAGGACAGGTCTGGGGAGTCGATTTGGGAGAGGAGGAGGAGGAGGAGGAGGAGGAGGAGGAGGAGGAGGAGGAGGAGGAGGAAGACGAGAAGGAGGAGGAGGAGGAGGAGGAGGAGGACGTGGACGTGAACGAGGACGAGGACGAGGACGAGGACGAGGACGAGGACGACGAGGACGACGACGACGACGTCGACGACGGGGAGGGAGAGGGGAGGGGAGGAGGGAGAGGCGAGGACGAGAAGGACGATGGGAGGACGGGACGGGGAAGGGGGAGGACGAAAGGGGGGAGGAGGGTGAGGGACGCAGCAAGGGAAGGAAGAGGAGCGAGGGGAAGTGAGGAGGAGTGAAGAAAAGTGAGGGTGAGTGAGGGGGGGGGCTGAGGAGGGGGATGGAGGTAGAAGAGCGAGACGGAGATGGAGGAGGAGGAGGAGGAGGAGCAGGAGGAGGAGGAAGAGGAGAGCTCAAACGCTCAAGGTGCGGCGCGCATCATCTTCGAGTCGGGGCGGAGGACCGAAGTGGGCGGGGCCCTGAAAATGGAAACTCATGGGACGCACGCCACCCAGGTCAGGGCGGAGTGGACGCCGCGCTTCCCAAGGCCATGGCAGAGGCTCGGGGCCGCCGCCGGCGACCCCCTCACCCGCAGCGCGGAAGGTGGAGCAGAGGGAGGAGGAGGAGGAGGAGGAGAAGGAGGAGGAAGAGGAGGAGGAGGAGGGGGAGAAGGGGAAGGAGAAGAAGGAGGAGGGAAGGAGTGAGAGCGAGACAGGGGGGGGATGGAGGGAGAGGGAGGGAGCGAGAGAGGAAAGGAGGTAGGACTCCTCCTCATCATCATCCTCATCCTCCACTCCTCTTCCTGATACATAGTTTCTCCCTGTCGCACCCCGAGGCTGCTCGAAAGGGCGGGCTGGGCGCTTCGCATTGTCGCATGAGACCTCTTCACCACTTGTGACCCTGAGACTTTTACATTGACCACCGTTTCACAAATGGAGGGAGGGTCGTTTTCAAAATGCGGCTCTCGCCTCAGCGCCGCGCACATTCCTTTTTAAAAGTTGCAAGAGTCTCAGGGTTTAAGGGCGGTTCATTTTCAAAATGTGGCTATCGCCTTAGCGCCGCGCACATTGATTTTCAACATTTTGCAGAGCGTCTCACGGAGTGAGAGCGGTTCCTTTTCAAAATGTGGCCCGCGCCTTAGCGCCTCGCACATTCCTCTAAACTATTGCAAGAGTCTCACGGATTGAGGGCGGTTCCTTTTCAAAATGTGGCTCTCGCCTTAGCGCCGCGCACATTCCTTTTGAAAGTTGCAAGAGCTTCACGGGTTGAGGGCGGTTCCTTTTCAAAATGTGGCTCTCGCCTTAGCGCCGCACATATTGCTCTTTAAAATCGCAAGAGTTTCACGGATTCCCAGGGTCAACGTACCAGAAACAGCGCTTTGGAAAGATTATGGATTATGGGGGCGCAAGAGATGCGTTGATTCGCGGTGTTGAAGTCCTAGGAATGGCGTTCTGGCACGATTCAGGACCGTCAAGACGCAACAGTCAGGTTGATATATTTCTTTGGAGTACCGAAATGATGATTCGGCCAGCTCCAAGCTCTTCAAACGGCTGTTTCCAACGAGTAATTCCCTCAGTGGAAATGAACCGTTGCAGGGGCCTGTGACGAAAGAGCTTGGAGGGAGGGTGTATTCCATCATCGTTGATGATTTTTGGGTTTACACTGGCCCTCCTCCTCCTCCTCCTCCTTCTCCTCCTCCTCCTGCTCCTCCTCCTCCCCCTCCTTCTCGCTCGCTCGCTCGCTCACGGACTTGTTGGTTCGCTCGCTCCCACCCCTCCTCATCCTCCCCCTGGTTCCGCTCCTCGCGCTACCCCTCGCGGTGGCGCGGGACCCCCAGGGACGGTCGCTGCACGCGGCGGGCACTGGCCGTCCCTGGATTGGATGGGGCGCGCCGCGCCGGCTGGGGCATCCCTCCAGCGGTCTCCCTTCCCCCCCTCCGTTCTGTTCAGTAGCGGCTTGGAACGTGCCCGTCTGTGGAGGAGACCGCGCACGAGAAACAGGGGAATGGGCGTGGGACGGTACACGAAAGCAGGCGCCGCTCCGCTGGAAGCGCCTCGGGCGCAGCCGCACTCGGATAAGGGAAAAAGAAAAATTGGAGGAGGAGGAGGAGGAGGAGGAGGAAGGGGAGGGGGGGAGGAGGACGAGGGGGAGGAGAAGGAGGAGGAGGAGGAGGAGGAGGGCACGTGGCTCAGGCCAGCTTCATAGGCCTCCTCGCCGTCCCCCCTGCGCGCCGCGCGACCCAACCGCTCGTGGCGCCGCCGCCCGCCCCCGCCACGCGGATGCGCGGCCGGTCGCGCCTGCCGACCTGGGCCGCGGGAGGGCAGCCGGCGTCGCTGTCGGGGTCGTCGTCATCGCCGCCGCCCCCGTCATTGCTGTCGTCGTCGTCGCCGCTGCTGGAGTACCGTTGTGTACGTCGCCGTGTCGTCGTTGCGCGAGGCCTCCGGCGAGACGTCGTTGCCAGGCTGCTTTGGGGGGAGGGGGGGGGCGCAATGCGCACGGGGGAGGAGGGAAGGGGGTTGAGAGGCGACCTGGGAAGGGACACAGGAAGGGACACAGCACAGGAGAAGGGAGAGGATGGGGGGACAGGCATGCAGACGATAATGGCGAAAGCGCGGGGGTGAGAAAAGGGGGAAGAAGGCGGGGAGAGCGGATAGGGGAAGCGAATCGGGCATGCTGAGCGCGCTCGCGTCGTTCATTGCGTCCCATCCTTCACACCCAGGCCCTTCCCATTGCGCCAGATCCGTTGTAGTACTCCGCGTTCCGACCGAATCTGAAAGGGGGTATGAGCTTGGTCGGCGCTTCGCCGATTTTATTGCATCAATCCCCGAAGTTCCGAACTATTTGGAAAAGTAACAAGAACATAATTGGCAGCTTGGACCCTAACTAAACAGTGCGTTATTGCACGGTGGATGCGCAATACATGTGGTGCAATCTCTCTGGTGCAATCTACGTGGTACAACCCACCCTTCAGAACTTGAAGTCGTCATCTCCACCGCTCGCGTAATCACCCCATCCTCCCGCCCGCAAGTTGTTTTGCACAACCCACGCGGCAGTGATTGCGGTGACTACTTGGCACTGGCTGGCGCATCTGTCCGCCTGCGCTGGCGCGCGCAAGCTTGCGCGCAGAGCGGCCAGCTGGTTCGGCACAACCGATGCGGCCGCCACGGCGCTTACCGATGGGAATTTTCAAGCGCGTCTCGAGGGCCGCACTACCGCGCGGGTACTTCAAAGCGTGTCGGTGACTCGGGCCCGTCCAATCAGGTCTCAGGTGCCTCTGGCACAACCCGCCAGACACCCGGAAAACGGCCACCTGGAGCCTTCGCCTCCAACATATCCGAGATGATCCAAAAGTGACCTCCAAGGCGGCCCAATGTTGGCGGCGAATGCTTCCAAGACTGCCCACGATGGCCCCAAGACTGCCCAAGATGGACTCAAGACGGCCCCGAAGGCCCCCAAGACGTCCCAAGAGGTCCCGGAGGACCTCCACGAGGCCCTGGGAGGTCACAATCATTGGCTTCACTTATGTTGTTATGTTGTTGTGGCAGTCTCGCCTCGTCGCGCTCCCGAAAATCCATGACGGCCCAGGAGGCCCCCGATAGTGTCCCACGACGGCTCGAGAGGGCCCCAAGAGGGCCCCAAGACGGCCCAAGACAATCCCATGAGGATTTCAAGACAACCCCAAGACGGTCCAAGAGGGCCCCAAGACGGCCCAAGAAAGTTGCACGAGGGCCCGAAAGAGCCCCAAGAGGTCCCCAAGACGGTCAAATGTAAGCGGCCCAGGAGCGTCCCACGAGGCCCCCGAAAGTGGCCCAAATGGCCCGCAGAGAACCACAAGAGAGCTGCAAGAGGGCCCCTCCCCAGCGTTTCCCCAGTCACCTTCGCTTGAAAGTTCACCTCACATGTGTCTTCAAAGGCAGCGAGCGGCGGTGATTTGACGCGGGCGTATTCGATAGCGGGGAGCGGGTCAGTCCACCTTCAACAGGGGGCCTCCGTGGCCCCAACGTCATATCGAGCCAGAACTGATGCGGGCAAAGAGAAGCGAGAAGCGAGGAGAAAGGCGAAGAGAGCGACGAGCAGTAACGAGGATCGTGCGGCGATACGCAAGGAGAGGGGAAAGCTAGGAACCCACCTGCCGCAATACCCCACACGTAGCGTTCGACACGGAGCTCAACACGGAGATTGAAAACGTACATTTGCCCTTTGGCCAAAACGTGGACCAACACACTGAGCCGACACGCAGCATGTCAACACTGACGTTTTGAACACAGTATATGTTGCGTTTCAATATGGGCGTATCAGGGCAGCTAAAATGAGGAAATAAGAGTCAGGGGCAAGGGTAGAGCAGCGAGGGCGAAGGAGCAGGAGAAGCGAGAGGAGGAGGATGTCGATGCTACCCAGTAGCCGTGCGTACACCGTGAACCTGGCGATGCAGGCCGATTCCTCACGGGTTTGGCGGCAGAGACTGGTCCTGCAGCAGAGACTCGCCGTTCTTCTCCGTATGACTCTTAATTAGTTCGGCTACTTTGTCGATCGCCGTCCCCTTCTTCTCAATGTCCATCAGCGACTGGTTGATGATCTCCAACGTGTTGTTGCGATCAGTCTCGAGCTTTTTTATCTCCTCATCCAGTTTCTTGACCGCGGCCCTTGCTTTCTTGGCCTTCTTCTGCAGCGACCCGTAGGCATCGCACTTGTTTCCCAAGTCATCGACTTGGCTCTGGTAGCTGTTGTCGCCGATCCCGACAAAACGCTTCAACATGCCGCGTTGCTTGCCTTTGTAGGTCGTGCAGAAGGCAAGCTTGTCCTCCACGAGACGTGTCCTGTTCTCTGATGGCCAGCTGAGTGGACTCACTGGGGCGACTTCCTCAGGCACACTCGGGCTCTTCGCGCTCTTCGCCGGGCTCGCCGCCGCCGCGCTCCCGGCGGGCCTCTGCGGGCTGGCGGCCGGCGCCGCGGTTGCCGCCGCGGTCGGCTCTGGGAGCGTGTCCAGGGGCGGCTCTGGGCTCGGCGCCGAACTCGGCTCGGGGCTCGGCGCCGGGCTCGGCTCTGGGAGCGTGTCCAGGGGCCGCTCTGGGCTCGGCGCCGAACTCGGCTCGGGGCTCGGCGCCGGGCTCGGCTCGGGGCTCGGCTCGGGGCTCAGTGCCGAGCCCCGGGGTGCAGGAACAGGCTCCATCGCCTCTTCCTCCTCGACCACCTCCTTCTTGCTGCTCTTCCAGAAGAGAGTGCGCTCCAGCGTGCCGATGCTGTGCGTCAGGAGCCGCCCCGCCGCCGTGGCGTCGACCGCGGACAGCACCTCGGCGTCCGAGGCCAGCCTCGAGGGGCAACGACAGGGGGGGGGGGGACAGGAGGAGGAGGAGGAAGAGAAGAGAAGGAGGAGGAGGAGAAGGAGGAGGAGGAGGAGGAGGAGGAGGAGGAGGCATAGGGGGGGGAGCATCGACCTGGAATCGGCGGTACATCGCCAATAGATCGGCGACAGGCACCCGATAGCAAACCCGCACGTTCATGGGCGGGGTGGGGCTATCGGACCCCTCTCCGCGACCGATGTGCGAGTCGGGGTCGAGGCATTCCCCCGCCCCCCTATGCCAACCCCCCCCGATCCTTGCCCCCGAAGCCTGGAGGCTGCGCCGCTCCCCGCGTCGTGAGCGGCCCCGCCCTGGAGGAGCAGCGCCGCGCCGAGCAGGCGCGCGAGCACGGGCATGGGCGAGGGAGCGCGGGCTCCGATGGCGCGCGCAGGAGCGCGTGTAGGTTTCACAGAGGAACGGGCGGCCTCGGGCCGAGGTTGCTGCGGGCCGCGGCCTCGGCAAGGGGTCTCGGCAGGGTGCCTTCCGGGGCCCTCTTGGGAGGCGGAGCCCCTCGGCGCACCCCGGCGGCCACCCGGCCGTTTTGCTGGGGTCGCCAGGGTGCGCGGACGCTGCGTCTCCCCTGTGAATGGTGCGCCTGGTCGGACTTGCGACCGCCGAAGGAGGAGGGGGGTTGGGCCTGGGAGGGGGGGGGGAACCGCGGGCAACTAGAGCGCCCAAGATGGCTCAAGAGGCCTCAGAGAGCCCAAGATGGCCTCCAAGCTGGCTCAAGACACCTCCAGATGGTTCAAGATAGCCTCCGACACACATACAAGAGGCCTCAAGACGGCCCCAAGACGATTTCAAGTGCCCTCCGAGCCCCCCAAGGACCCCCCAAGAGCCCAAAATCCTTCAAAAACCAACGGAAAATCCATGTGTTTTGTCTTCTCGCCTTTTGGCTTCGATGGGCTCTTGAGGCCTCAGTATGGCCTCAAGACGGCCCAAGAAGGGCCCAAGAGGGCCCGAAGAGGGCCCCAAGAGGGCCCCAAACGAGCGCCCAAGAGACCTGAAGACATCATTTTTGAGCCTCCGAGGGTGGGGGCCTTAATTTATTACACAACACTTTTTGAGCCATGGGGCCCAAGGAGGCCCCAAGAGGCCCCCGAGACCACCCCCGAAGAGCCCCAAGAGGGCTCCTAGACCGCCCAAAAGAGCCCCAAGAGGGCCCCAAGAGTGCCCCGAGTGGCTCCGCGAGGACCCCAAGAAAGACCCAAGACGGCTCCAAGAGACCTCCGAGAAAACAGTTCCAAGGCAGTTGTTACAACGCATGCTTCTACACTTCCCTGATCAAGGCATCTCGCCTGGCGATCTGCTTCTCTTTCGACACGTGTGCACGCGCAGTCCGCCATGAGCCCAGAGGAGTCCCGACGGACAAGGGCCCTGGGCACCCCCAGTGCTTCCCTGAGCCATCCTTTCCATCCCGAGCCGTTCGTGGACAGCCCGAGGCACGGACGTGCTCCAGGGAGACCAAGGGCGGCGAAACCTCGGACATCCCTCCTTCAGGAGCCCAAGTGGCTCGTGGCGAACCCTGTCTGGAAGAGTGCGTGCTTCTCCCGCGTGTGCGCCTCTGGTCGATCGAGGCCATCGCTCTCGCCTCCACGCTGGCCGCAGCTCTGGCTCGGCGCGGCGGTGCGTTCGCATCGCCTCGCCCCCCCGCATCTGGCGCTCGGCGCCACGGCCCTTCCCGCAGACTCCCGACGTCATGAGTTGTCCCGACCACCCTGTGGTGTTGGGTGCCCGCTTCGACCACGCACCGCCCCGCGCTCCTCGATCCTGCTCCTCCCCCTGCTCACTCCTCCCATCCTTGCCTCTGCCCTCCATAGTCTCTGCTTCGGCGCACCCCTCACGCGTTCCGCTGCTCCACGGGGAGCCTTACCTAAGGCCCCAATGGCACAGTCCGCATGCGTCCCCGGCACATTTCGGCAAACCCCTCACACGTTTCGCGGCCTTACAGGCAATTCCACCCAAGGCCCCAGTGGCACAGTCCGCATGCGTCCCACCGCCCGTTTCGGCACACACACACACACACACACGCACACGCACACGCACACACACACACACACACACACACACACACACACACACCTCACACGCTTCGTGGCCCCATGGTGGGCCCACCAAAGGCTCCACTGGCACAGTCCACTTGTTTCGGCACACCCCTCGCACGCTTCGTGGCCACATAGGGAGCTACGCCTGAGGCCCCAGTGGGACAGTCCGAATGCGTCCCCCCGCCCATTTCGGTACAATCCTCGCGCGCGTCGTAGCACAATTGGGAAGTCCAACGAAAGCCCCAATTGCTAAGTCCGCACGCGTCCCCCGCCCGTTTCGGCACACTCCTCTGACGCATCCTGGCCCCATAGGGAGCTTTCACCGCGCCTTCCCGCACGCGGTACTGCCGCTGCAAGGACTCTCTCCGTCGACACGTGTTCGGTGGTTCAGAATGGCACCCCCAGCGGCGGCCACGACCGTCCCCCGCCTCATCCTCACCCATCTTTTCCGCTGCACGTACCCCCCCAGCTTCTTCATCCTCCTGTTGTTTCCTCCTTGTTCTGAACTCTAGAAAATGTTATCCCGCGCAGCAAACAGTTGGAAAGGTTATCCCACTTGAAGCTGATCCACGGTGGGATATTGCTGGCAACGACAAGGTGGGGCATTCGGACTGGTATGTCGCGAGCTCAAGCAAGGCTGCAGGCGAACAGCAATCTACAGTGTTGTGTCCGCGGTTGCGACTTGATCTGACCACGACTGCCCGCATGTCCTCGCGAGTGGTTGCCTTTCAAGACGGATGCTTGCGATCGTTCGTGTGCAATGTGTTCTGATCACGGGCTAGAGAAGTTCAAAGGGTATCAGGTGCAGGCGGTCTGTCGGTTCTGCGGCGAGAAAGAGAACTCCATCCTCCACCGGCTGTGGGAGGACTTAGCTTGCCGCTCTGCTCGTAAAAAATGCGATCGCACGCGAACTCGCGGACACCCCCGCGCGCGCGCGCTCCTTCCCACACACACGCACGCACACGCGCACGCCCACTCGCCTGCAGCCACCCACCCACTTTTGAGCCAGCGGCGCAGAAGGCCCTCAAGCGCGAACAGCAGATGGAAGTGCTAATTGCGACCGAGCCTTGTTCATCCCGCAGCGTACAAGCGTCGTACACTGAAGAATGCAAGCGATGGGTGTGTTAAAGTGATTGTAAGTCCAAACGAATGCATGCAGCGGCCAGAAGACGAGAAAAACCTGAACCCAAAGCAAACTGAAGCGCGACAGCCCGAGGCTAAGTGCGGCCACTGGATCACCAGAGCGGTCTTAGACAGTGAAGCGCAAAGAAAAATTGTTGCTAGGCAGATTGGTGCTGTGGCCCACCCGGCGGACCTGCGCGGCGGATTGGCAGGGTGATGACCTACGGATCAAAGCCAGCAGCCGCGATGATGGGTGAGCCGGAGCCCACGACGCTTGGCAACGCCAGCCACGGCGAACCAAAAGCTGCGCCACCAGCCGCGCCCAACACATCAAGCACCGAAAATGACACCCACCCACACGCGCAAACGCGGCGCTGCGACACGTGTGGCAGGGCGTGTGAGTAGCGGACCCCGTTTGAGAGCGAGGCGCGAATACACCCCTCCCCCCCGCATACCTTACCCCTCCCCCCTCTTATTTGTCCCCCACAGCGCCTCGAGGCACGACTTGGAGTGTCCTAAGGTCCTCCAGGTCCTCAGTCCTCAATCAGACCATGCGTACAAAGCCTGAACCAAAAATTACTGGACTTACCAGGGCTTCCCGCGGTCCAAGAGGCCCCCACGAGGCCCGCTCAGAGGTCCCCAGGAGGCCAAAAGTATTGATCCCACGCAGGCTTTGGAAAAATGTTGATTTTGTTGCCCTTCGTATTTCCGACCGACCAAGACGGCCCAAGAGGCCTCGAGATCGCCACAAGACGGCCCAAGACGCTCCCAAGAAGGCAGACGGTCCCAAGACGGCTCAACAGGGGCCCCAGAGGATCAACGCGAACCGACATTTCGAGCCCTCCGCCCCAAGACAACCTCGGGGACCGCCAGCAAGCCCCCAAGAGCCGCTCGTTCCACGAGGCCTCGAAAAAGCCCAAATCGGGCCCCCAGAAGCCAAGGCCCCTGAGAGGCCCCGAAAATACCCCAGAACCGCCTCCACGAGGCTTCCGCGAGGCCGCCCAAGAGATCCCCACAGCCATCCAAGAGGCCCCTGACCTACGACCAAGGCGCAAGAGCGGAGTGGGCTGAAGGCCACTAGATGTCTTCAAGGTGCTAAACGGAACGTCGCTCCAGCGCCGAATCTAACTACGGGAATGTTTCAGCAGCCCATGCCGCAAACAAAAGGCGCCCCCAGAATCAAATCGACATGTCGGATCGACGATCGAAATCAGTCGGATCGGCGAAAATCGGGAGCCGAGTCGGGAAAATTCGAATCGGCGGAAACCGGCAGGCTAGTAGGCTTCCATCGAGAAATCGGAGCCCAAATCGGAATCCCAAGTCGAATCGAATCGGAATCGGAGGCCATCGAAATCGAATCGAATCGAATCGAAGGAATCGAAACGAGCCCTGCAAGGGTGTGCTCCAGCATCCAACGGTTAGGAAAGACAACGCCCTAGCAGCCCACGGCGTGCGCTCCGGTCCCAAAATTTCACGAGGGAGAAAGTTCCAGCAGCCCATGGCGTGCGTTCCACCACTGCGTTTTAACCGATCGCGAGCGCCCCGGCAGCCAAAGGGGTGCAACCCATCTCTGCATGTCACACTGAGCGCGGGCGGTCGAACCCCGCTCAGCACACCAGGAACCCAACTAGTCAAAAAACTCACTAGCAACATATACCATGCTGACTGTCGCACTGGTCGGCCTTACTCCGCTTCCTCCTCCTCCTCATCATCATCATCATCATGATCACCATCATCATCATCATCATCATCACCATCATCATCATCATCATCATCATCATCATCATTATCCCAGACCTGTTCATCCTTCTGCTGGTCCTCGCCCTCCTATTCCTCCTTAGCCTCATCACCGTCAGCTGAAGCATCCTCAGTCTCCCTCCTCCTTTGCATCCACCGCATGACTCTAATCCCTCCACCCTCTGCTTCTCCCACAGCCCTGGGACGAACGTTTGAAGTGTCCACGCATGCAAACGTCAGCAGAAACATCATCTCCCGCAGTAAGGATCGAGACGCGCGATCAGATGGGCGACATCGGGCTCAACCCTCCTCCGCCTCCTCCTCCTCCTCGTGGCCATGGTCATCCTCATCATCATCATCATCATCATCATCATCATCATCATCATCATCATCATCATCATCATCATCATCATCATCATCATCATCATCATCATCATCATCATCATCATCATCATCATCATCATCATCATCATCATCATCATCATCATCATCATCATCATCATCATCATCATCATCATCATCATCATCATCATCATCATCATCATCATCATCATCAGCATCATCATCATCCTGGCCCTGGTCCTCCTCCTCCTCCTCCTCCTCCTCCTCCTCCTCCTCCTCCTCCTCTCTGCGACTCTGCGACTCATGAAGCGACGGTCGAGCTAGCCACATCCTAGGACGCTCTGCTCAAGGCCGCCACTGGGGGAGGGGGATGAGGAGGAGGGGGAAGAGGGAAACACCAATTGCAGGGGCGGGGCCGTCCTGCCTGTCCTCCTCCTCCTCCCCCTCCTCCTCCTTCTCCTCCTCCTCCTCCTCCTCCTCCTCCTCCTCCTCCTCACTCCGCCTCCTCCTGGCCCTGGTCCTCCTCCTCCCACTCGGACCTCGAGCACGCGCAGCCTCCTGCCCGGCGCCACCCTCTCGACGAGCACCTCGCTGTCCAGCGCCTCCTCCCTGCGGACGCAGACGGGGGACACGACCTCTCGCGGCGGGCCAGGGGCCCCGACAGGGGCGACGAGCCTACGAAGGAACATCACCCAGAGATCCAACGCTCCAGCAAAAAATAGAGCGGGCGGTTTGGGGCGGTTTTCGGGTTCCAGGGGCCCTCGCCGGGCCCTGGGACTGTAGAAAAACTACTCGGGACGAGCAACCAGTCCTGGGGAAGTGCTCCAGACCTCTGGGGCCGACACATCGAGAAAAGTGGAGCAGCCGGATGTCTGGGTACATGTATCCAGGGGCAGCGATGGTCCGTGATTTCGGCGAGGCTCTCGGAAGGATACATGTAATGTCATGCCCGCCCTGGGATACTCGCCACCACCATCGCCTCGGGGGGGGGGGCTGCCGAAGCAGGCGGAGGATCCCAGCGTATCATTGTCTGCGTCCCACCCGCAAGCCTCGACCCAACCCTCGGGCGCTGTAAGCCCAGGGTCACGCAGAGCAGCTCGGGCGACCATCTCATGGAGGATCGCCGTTTCGGTTTCCGAAGCAGGTGGAGGAGGAAGGGCAGGATGCGGAGGAAGAGGAGCAATCCACCGACCCTTGCTTGGCCAGGATGAGAAGGCGTGTGAAACATTTGGCTGTCCCCCTCCCTCTTTCCCCCTCCCCCAAAATCTAAAATCGCGTTTGAGGAGGGGGGTCCTGGGCTCCCCAAATGCACCCCTGGAGCCTCCAGAGCTTGCAAATCCACCCTCCGTGGCCGCAAAGATCCCAAGATGCCTTCTAAAATGGCTCCAGAAGAGCCCCAACACGCCAGAAAAGCTTCAAAAATACCCAAGACAGTCTCAAGACGGCCGAAGACACCGAAAGGAAGCCCCAAGAGGACCCCCCCAAGAGGGCCCCAAGAGGCAAAAAGCGACGATCCCACATTATCTGTGACATGATTTTCGCGCTCTCGGCTCTCTGACTCTGCACGCTCAAGACAACCCAAGAGGCCCCCCAGACTAGGCCAAGCCGGCCCAAGAATCCCTCACAACGGCCCCGAGACGGCCAATAAGGGCCAGAAGACGGCCCCAGAGGCCCTCAAGACGGCACACGACTTTCAGTGTGGCCGCAACAAGAGAGGCCCAGGAGGGGAAACCCGCAGAAGCCCTGGGAGCCCCACCCCAGAAGATGGCCCCTAAGACCCCCGATTGGCTCCAAGATTTGGACGCCCGAAATGGGTACCGAAAGAATGGGTACGATGCCCAACAACAAATGTTGTCCCAAACCAACAGCAGCCGCTGTTTGGCAGGCGGCCTTCTGTCTCGAATGGACACAAGCCGCGGCGGCGTGGACAGCGGATCTTGTTCAAAATGAACAAGATCCGCTGTTGGGCATAGTACCCATTCTTTCAGTATCCATTTCGGGCGTCCAGACAAGAGGCCCCCAGCAAAACCCAAACCCCCCGGGAACCTCGACGAAGCTCCAAAAGACCGCCATCTGGGAGCCGCCGGCAGACCCCGCAGATGCCTCCATAAGTTCCATGAGGCTTCAGAAAGGCTCAAGTGAGACACCCCAAAGGCTCCCGAGAATCCCCAAAGATACCCTCCAGCTGAACGAGGGGGGCCTCAAACAGAGCACAGACAACATTACAAACTGTCCGGTTGTCCTCGATATCCTCCTCCTTTTCCTCCTTCCTCTCATCGTCGTCGTTGTCTATGTCGTAAGTTTCATCCTTCTCTCTCACTATCCGAAGCCCAAAATGAGGTCATATCGACCATCCGCGACGTCACTCTGGGAGCATCTCGCTTCATGCGCGACGCACAGCACATTTCACCGCTCCCTCCCGAGAAGCGCAGGATAAGTGAGCCTGATGCGCGGAGTAGCGACAGCATGGCGGCCACTCCTCCCACGCACCAGGACACTTGAAGGCATTACATGCGCGCGACGGCGTCCAAGAAACAGCCAGCAAGCGCCCAGGAAACCCTGACGAGGCTTCAAGGCGCCCACCAAGACACCCACAAGGCCTCCCCTCGTCTGGGAGGCAGCGCAATGGCGTAAGCCTCTTGACTGAGAACTAAAGCAAGAAGGCAAAAGCCGAAAACGGGGATCCGGAGCACGGCTCTCAGCCACCGGACGCTGTCGTGCGAGCGGCTTGCAACGTGAGCAGCATGAAAGGGCCCTCACGCGCCCGCCGGTGGGCAGCGGAGTCGAAGAGGAGGGGTGATGAGGGAGGAAGAGGAGGGCAAGAGGGAGAAAGAGCGCAGAGGATACGGAGGTGGCTGAAGAGGTGGAGGCAGAGGGTTAGAGGATTGCGATGGGTTCTGGACAGGATTCCAAGGTGTTTGGGGGGCGATGGTGGAGGTGCTGGTAAGAGGAGAATGAAAAATCCGCGGGATCCCTTGCGGGGGCCACCAGGCTGCGAGGATTAGGTTCCAGCAACTGAGCAGTTGAGTTGTCGCCATCACTGAAAGGCACATCTCAACGCTGCAACATCCTTGCCTTATGAGCTGCGCAACGTGGGAAGTTAGATCTTCCGGTCGCCAGCTGTCAAAGAACATAACTGCTCAGTTTCTCACGAGGTGGGAACCCGCCAACCCCCGCTGGCCGGGAGTGAGAAGGCGTGTGAGATAATTGCCTGTCCCCCGTCCCCCGTTCCCCCTTCCCTGGGGGTTCCAAACTGCAGCAGCTAGAGCTGGGGAAGGGGGCGCAGGGAGGGGGGGGGGGAAGTGCACGAGCTCCCTGGCGCACCTCCCAGGCCCTCGGAGCGTCCAAATCCACAATCCGTGCCATCCAAAATGCCCCCCAAAAAAACCATCAACGACAAAAAAAAAGATTTCTAAATTACTTTTGGAAAATTGTCTCGTTCTCGCCTTTCCGGCCTTCTGAAAACCAGATGGCTCAAGAGGCCCCAAAGAGGGCCAGGAGACGGCCGAAGAGGGCCCCAAGACTGCCCGGGATGCCCCCGGGACAACCAACACCTTCGAGATGGCCCCAAGAGGGGCTCCAGAGAGGCCCAAGATAGGAAATCCGTTGGGGCCCCGAGCCCTCTCCCACAAGATGGCCCCCAAGGCTCCCAGCACGGCCCCAACAAGGGACCCCAGGTTCTTGCAGAACCACAAAAGCTCATTCGAATGTCCCGGGAACCACAGAACGACGCCCAAGAGACCGCCACCGCTGCCTCGTAGACCCAAGAAGTCCCGCAACAGACGCGAAGGAAGAAGAGGACAAATCAGCAGCAACTACACGCAGGCAGAACGACAGAAAGCGGCAAAGAACACGCACGAAATTAGAAGGCGCACATCTCCGCTTCTGATGGTCGGCAAATTGGCGAAATCCTCGAGAGTGAAGGATACGTAACACATGCATGCCAGGGCGTTTGTTAGATACACCCGTGTGGCGCATACCCTCCCTCGCGCACCTACGATTATGTTTGAAAAATTCGCTGGCCACTCCAACTTTGCTTCGTACCCTCTGGGCCAGTGCCAAAAGACCGACAACACAAACAAAACCTTAACTACGCCAGAGCCCTTACCGAGCGGGAAAAAGCTGGATCTTGATCCGCGATCCTCCTCCTACTCTGTGAAATCCACAAAATATCAATACAGCTACTCGCTGGACACTTCCCTGGGTGCGTTCTGACCAGGATTTCGAAGTGAATTCAGCAGTGGCGACGACGGCTTCCCACGAGGCCCAAGAAGGCAAAACGACGGAATGGTAGCGGTAGCGGTATTCGTTCCTCCTCCTCCTCTTCCTCCTCCTCCTTCTCCTCCTCCTTCTCCTCCTCCTCCTCCGCCTCCTCCTCCTCCTCCGCCTCCTCGTCCTCCTCCTCCACCCTCGCAAGAGGCGGACCTCGCAAAGGTCCCCGACGCGGAGCGCCACCACAGCCGGACAGCCTGGCAACTGGAGCGCCTCCTCGGCCTCGGCGAGGACCTCAAAGAGGACAGAACGGAGGGAGCGAGCACGAGAAGGCAGGAAGAGGGAATCGAATCGGCTCGGCAGGAGGAGGCTCAGCGCCTTCTGGGCCCCCTTCGTAAGGGCCACAAGGTTGGAGCAAGATGATCCAAAAACAATTTGGCTACATGTGTATGTCGCCCTGCCCAGCGGCGAACAAGAACACCTCGGCCCCGACCAACCACCCAGGGCTGGAACTCACCAAGTGTGAGCCACCACGGTAGCAACTGACTGTTCGAGCGAAGCCCCCCTCTCCGTTACCCCCCCCGTTTCTCCTGCCTCCCTGTTATCCTGGCGGGCAGCTGGAAACACGCGTGGCTGGATTCACATGTGGAACACCTGCAGGCCACGTGTAAAAGTCATGATTGTAGCATGACGAGCCAAGTGAAAAGAGATCGCGAAGCAGAGGAGCAGCGAATGGCGGCCGACAACTCGCACGTGCCCGCGTGCAGAGTATACCAGTGAGCCTTGAAAAAAAGCGGCACGAGAGATTAAACGAAACGGCAGGAACATGGGAAGGAGGAGCAAGTATGAGGAGGGAGAGGAGGACATTACAAGTGCTGCCAGGTGGCCGCAGCTATTTGGCCGAGGCTGGGCCGCAACTAGATGGCCGGGGACTGTTACATCATGAAGCCGAGGCGTCCACCGCAAAGCCGTACCGAGACCTGCAGCGTAGGGACGGAGCGCGTCTGAGGGTGCACGCCGTTGGGGCAGACAGTCAACCAAAAAACAAAGAGAGAGAGAGAGAGAGAACAGCCTACGTGGAGGCGAAGAGCGCCGACTGACAAAAAACTCCCCGCCTGCACCACGCCGTCGAGGAACAGCAAACACTCCGATCAGACCAAAACATTATACCAGATACTGCCGTGATGCACCACGCCAGGGTGCCAGAAATATCGGAAGAGCACACACGGCACAGCTCATACAATGCCCGCCTCCACGTCGCCACTGACCTCCTTCATCTCGTCGTCCTCCAGCAATTCCGCGGGGTCCGAGGACGTCCGCACCGTCTAGCCGACATCGCCCGCCGTGGTCATGGGAGCAGCAGGTTGAAGCGGGGGGCAATCCGCAAATTGCCCTGTGGTCTACGATCTGCGCCTGGCTCGTTGCAGGAGCCGAAGAGCCGCCAGAGTCGAGCTGCTGGCGTCGAACGTGATGTCCACTGTGGAGCAGCTGTGAGCGGCGGCGATCGCCGTCGGGCTGCTGGAGTCGGTGATCGGCGCTGCCGTAGTTGGCGCAGTGGCACTGCTGCAGTCGTCGCCATACGTAGAGGCCTGGGTTAGGGCTATGTAGCGCCTCCCGGGTTCTGGCTCGCCTACTCATCGTCGTCGTCGCACTCCTGGTCGTGATCGAGGCCGCAATCGTGGTAGTGACCGTGATGCTGGTCGCACTTCTGGTTCGTGACTACGATGCGGCCCTTCTCTGGGCCATGACCGTTGCTGCACTCGTACCCGTGAGTATAGTGACGGTCCGTGCTCGTGGTCGTGCTCGATGTCGTGATTTAGCCGTACTCGTGGCCATGGTTGTGACCGTACTCGTGGCCGTGACCACGGCCGTACTCATCGTCTCGATAGCGGCAAAACTCGTGACCGAGACCATGGCGCCGATAGTGCTGAGCGCACTTGTGATCGTGGTGCCGGTCGCACTCGCGGTCGTGATCGTGGTCGTGCTCGCGGTGGTGATCGTGACCGCTCCTGCGAGCTGATCGCGACCGTGCTTGCGATCGTGAACGTGGCCGTACTCATGGGAGGTCGGCACAGGGGACGTACAGAGAGTCGGTTCAGGCGATGGGCCGGGGTTCGAAGCTGGAGTCGGAGTTGGCGCAGGAGCTCTGAACCACGTCGACTCAATGACGTTCCGACTCCATGACGTTCCGACTCCAGCCTGGCGACAGATTCCGCGTCATATGGAGAGAGGGGGGGCAGCAGCAGAAGCAGCAGAGCAGGATTAGAAGTGGAGGGGGGAGCCAAGGAACAGGGAAGGGAGGAACGAAGGACGGAGGGGGAGGGAGGAGGGGGAGGAACGACCTCGTAGACCGTCGTGAAGCGGATGCCCGCGGCTTTGGCAACCGCCGCCGCGTCGCCTACGATCGTGCCGTCGCCGGCGCTGCCGGGGCCTCCGTCGCAGAGGCCTCGGGCATCTTCTTCCTCCTCCTCCTCCTCCTCCTCCTCCTCCAACTCATCATCACCACCACCACCGCCCTCATGATCATCGTCATCATCACCACCATCACCATCACCACCACAACCGCCATCATCAGACGAAGAAAAAACAGATTAATGAAAATACTACCAATAACAACAACAGCAACAACAACAACTATAATAACAGCAAGACTAACAGTACTAATAAACATTAATAGCATCAATAAAATTATCCTGGCGAAGGACCCAACCATAAGCAATTGTGAATACCGCAATTGTGAATATCTTCTTCGGTGGCGCTCCCTATGGGGCCACGAAACGTGTGAGGGGTGTGCCGAAATGGGTGCGCGGGACGCGTGCGGGCACACCCACTGGGACCTTCGGTGGAGCTCCCTATGGGGCCACGAAGCGCGTGAGGGGTGTGCCGAATTGGGTGTGCGGGACGCGTGCGGGCACACCCACTGGGGCCTTCCGTGGAGCTCCCTATGGGGCCACGAAACGTGCGAGGGGTGTGCCGAAATGGGTGTGCGGGACGCATGCGGGCACACCCACTGGGGCCTTCGGTGGAGCTCCCTATGGGACCACGAAACGTGTGAGGGGTCACGAAACGCGTGACGGGTGTGCCGACATGGGTGTGCGGGACGCATGCGGGCACACCCACTGGGGCCTTCGGTGGAGCTCCCTATGGGGCCACGAAACGTGTGAAGAGCATGCCGAAATGGGTGTGCGGGACGCATGCGGGCACACCCACTGGGACCTTCGGCGGAGCTCCCTGTGGGGCCACGAAACGCGTGACGGGTGTGCCGACATGGGTGTGGGGGACGCATGCGGGCGGCGGCACTGGGGCCTTCGGTGGAGCTCCCTATGGGGCCACGAAGCGTGTGAGGGGTGTGCCGAAATGAATGTGCGGGACGCATGCGGGCACACCCACTGGGACCTTCGGTGGAGCTCCCTATGAGGCCACGAAGCGCGTGAGGGGTGTGCCGAATTGGGTGTGCGGGACGCATGCGGGCACACCGCTGGGGCCTTCGGTGGAGCTCCCTATGGGGCCACGAAGCGTCTGAAGAGCATGCCGAAATGGGTGTGCGGGACGCATGCGGGCACACCCACTGGGACCTTCGGCGGAGCTCCCTGTGGGGCCACGAAACGCGTGAGGGGTGTGCCGAAATGGGTGTGCGGGACGCATGCGGGCGGCAGCACTGGGGCCTTCGGTGGAGCTCCCTATGGGGCCACGAAGCGTGTGAGGGGTGTGCCGAATTGGGTGTGGGGGACGCATGCGGGCACACCCACCGGGACCTTCGGTGGAGCCCCCTTTGGGGCCACGAAACGTGTGAGGGGGGTGCCGAATTGGGCGTGCGTGACGCATGCGGGCGGCAGCACTGGGGCCTTCGGCGGAGCTCCATATGGTGCCACGAAGCGTGCGAGGGGTGTGCCGAATTGGGTGTGCGGGGCGCATGCGGGCGGCAGCACTGGGGCCTTCGGCGAAGCCCCCTATGGGGCCACGAAGCGTGTGAGGGGTGTGCCGAATTGGGCGTGCGTGACGCATGCGGGCGGCAGCACAGGGGCCTTCGGTGGAGCTCCCTATGGGGCCACGAGACGTGTGAGGGGTGTGCCGAATTCGGTGTGCGTGACGCATGCGGGCGGCAGCACTGGGGCCTTCGGCGGAGCTCCCTATGGGGCCACGAAACGTGTGAGGGGTGTGCCGGATTGGGCGTGCGTGACGCATGCGGGCGGCAGCACTGGGGCCTTCGGCGGAGCTCCTTATGGGGCCTCGAAACGTGTGAGGGGTGTGCCGAATTGTGTGCGCGTGACGCACGCGGGCGGCAGCACTGGGGCGTTCGGCGGAGCTCCTTATGGGGCCACGAAACGTGTGGGTGGTGTGCCGGATTGGGTGTGCGTGACGCATGCGGGCGGCAGCACTGGGGCCTTCGGCGGAGCTCCCTATGGGGCCACGAAGCGTATGAAGGGTGTGCCGAATTGGGTGTGCGTGACGCATGCGGGCGGCAGCACTGGGGCCTTCGGCGGAGCTCCCTATGGGGCCACGAAACGTGTGAGGGGTGTGCCGAAATGGGTGTGGGGACGCATGCGGGCACACCCACTGGGGCCTTCGGTGGAGCTCCCTATGGGACCACGAAACGTGTGAGGGGTCACGAAACGCGTGACGGGTGTGCGACATGGGTGTGCGGGACGCATGCGGGCACACCCACTGGGGCCTTCGGTGGAGCTCCCTATGGGGCCACGAAACGTGTGAAGAGCATGCCGAAATGGGTGTGCGGGACGCATGCGGGCACACCCACTGGGACCTTCGGCGGAGCTCCCTGTGGGGCCACGAAACGCGTGACGGGTGTGCCGACATGGGTGTGGGGGACGCATGCGGGCGGCAGCACTGGGGCCTTCGGTGGAGCTCCCTATGGGGCCACGAAGCGCGCGAGGGGCGCGCCGAAATGAATGTGCGGGACGCATGCGGGCACACCCACTGGGACCTTCGGTGGAGTTCCCTATGGGGCCACGAAACGTGTGAGGGGTGTGCCGAATTGGGTGTGGGGGACGCATGCGGGCGGCAGCACTGGGGCCTTCGGCGGAGCTCCCTATGGGGCCACGAAACGTGTGAGGGGTGTGCCGAATTGGGTGTGCGGGACGCATGCGGGCGGCAGCACTGGGGCCTTCGGTGGAGCTCCCTATGGGGCCACGAAACGTGTGAGGGGTGTGCCGAAATGGGTGTGGGGGGCGCATGCGGGCGGCAGCACTGGGGCCTTCGGTGGAGCTCCCTATGGGGCCACGAAACGTGTGAGGGGTGTGCCGAATTGGGTGTGGGGACGCATGCGGGCGGCAGCACTGGGGCCTTCGGCGGAGCTCCCTATGGGGCCACGAAACGTGTGAGGGGTGTGCCGAATTGGGTGTGGGGGACGCATGCGGGCGGCAGCACTGGGGCCTTCGGCGGAGCTCCCTATGGGGCCACGAAACGTGTGAGGGGTGTGCCGAATTGGGTGTGCGGGACGCATGCGGGCGGCAGCACTGGGGCCTTCGGCGGAGCTCCCTATGGGGCCACGAAACGTGTGAGGGGTGTGCCGAATTGGGTGTGGGGGACGCATGCACTGGGGCGGCAGCACTGGGGCCTTCGGCGAGCTCCTATGGGGCCACGAAACGTGTGAGGGGTGAGCCGACTTGGGTGTGGGGGACGCATGCGGGCGGCAGCACTGCCGCCTTCGGCGGAGCTCCTATGGGGCCACGAAACGTGTGAGGGGTGTGCCGAATTGGGTGTGGGGGACGCATGCGGGCGGCAGCACTGGGGCCTTCGGCGGAGCTCCTTTGGGGCCACGAAACGTGTGAGGGGTGTGCCGAATTGGGTGTGGGGGACGCATGCGGGCGGCAGCACTGGGGCCTTCGGCGGAGCTCCCTATGGGGCTACGAAACGCTGTACTGGGTGGGTGAAACGCAGGGAAGAGGGGGCGGTGGGTGGAGGAGGGGGAGGAGGCAGCGGGAGGAAGGAAGGAAGGAGAACGCGGGGCATCGTCTCTTCAAAACGAGGACCCAACACCACAGGATGGTTGGCAAATAGTAATATAATCATCTTCATCCTCATCATCATCCTCATCATCCTTCCACACCTCGTCCTCCTGCTCCTCCTATCCTCCACATCCTGCTCCTTATCCTCCTCCTCCTCCTCCTCCTCCTCCTCCTCATCCTCCTCCTCCTCCTCCTCCTCCTCATCCTCCTCCTCCTCCTCCTCCTCCCAGTGCTTCTGTTGTTGCTTCTTCTAATCATCATCCTGCGTTTCTTATTTGTTCTCGTTCATCCCTCCCCCACACGAACAACTCCTCCTCATCCCACCGCCCGACGTGTCGGCAGGGCGGGCCAGGTGTTTTGCCTGACACTTCCTGAAAGCTTCAAGTTTCCAGCAACTACGCGGATGGAGGACGGGTCGCCTTCAAGACATGACTCCCACCTAAGCGACGCACACATGCGTCTCAAAAAGTCCAACAGTTATATGGATGGAGAGCGGGTGGGTGGCTTCCAAAAAGTGGGTAGGAACTGATGGGGTGGGGATTTGGGACGGGAAGGTGTATTGCAGCATCGTTTATGGATTATGGGTTCACTCTAGTCCGCCTCCTCCCCGTGCTCGACACCGTCACAATCCTGCGAATCCGTTCCCCTTTGCCCACTTTCATGCCCACCTCTTCCTCCGCCCTCCCCCTCATCTTCCTCTTCCTCCTCCTCAGCCTCCTCCTCCTCCTCCCACTCCTCCTCCCCTCTTCCTGCATGTTCTAGTATTACGACTTTTCTTCCTCCTCCTCTTCCACTTCCTCCTCCTTCCCTCACACATACCCTATTCCTCTTTGCACTCTTACACCCCATCCTCTGCAACTATTTCCTACCCCTGTTCCTCCTCCTCCAGCCCATGCTCACACTTCACCTCCACTTCACCCTCCACCTTCTTTGCCTCCTCGTCCAACAGTGTCCCCTCATTCCAGCCTCCTTCTCCACCTCCTCATCGTCCTCCGTCTCCTCATCTTCCGCCTCCTCTCCCCATATAGCCAATAGTGTGTTTGTCATCCCGCTCCCTCAGATGCATCCTCATCCCCCCCATTTCTCCACCTTCGCTGAAGCTCCTGCGGCCGATGCTGCGGCTACGAGCAGGACGCAGTTCTGCACCATGGCGTGATGGGCCTCGTCGGCGGGACACGGGTGTCCCACACTTCGTGTTTGTCTTCGAGTTCTGGCTGACCTCGTCTGCGGTGCTCTTGCTCACGTATGTTGCCCGTTTCGAGCTGATTCTTGTGGCAGGTGCACCCAAGCCCTGATCGGCCTCGCCCTCTGATGCACACGGAACCCGCTGAACTCATGGCCCGTCTACCAAATTCATCATCAGCCGCAGCATCACCATCATCGCCACCACCACCACCACCACGACCGCCACCATCATCAGCATCATCATCATCATAATCAGCATCATCAGCATCATCATCATCATCATCATCATCGTCATCATCATCATCATCATCAACATCATCAACATCATCATCACCATCATCATCATCATCATCATCATCATCATCATCATCAACATCATCATCAGCAGCATCATCATCGTCATCATCATCATCCTCATCATCATCGTCATCATCATCAGCATCATCTCCATCATCATCAGCGGCATCATCATCATCAACATCATCATCAACATCAGCATCATCATCAGCATCAGCATCATCATCATCAGCAGCAGCAGCAACAGTATCATCATCATCGTCATCATCATCATCGTCATCATCGTCATCATCGTCATCGTCATCGTCATCGTCATCGTCATCGTCGTCATCATCATTATCATCATGATCAGCAGCATCGGCATCAGCATCACCGTCGCCAGCATGAGAATCAGCATCATCATCAGCACCAGCACCATCATCATCATCATCATCAGCAGCAGCATCAGCATCATCATAATCAGCATCAACATCAGCATCATCAGTACCACCATCATTATCATCAGCCTCAGCAGCATCATCAGCATCACAGTCATCATGATCATCACCATAACAGTAGCAGCATACTCATCATCCTTATTGCCAACATCTTACTCATGGTCATCATGATCCTCCTCCTCTTATCATCAGCAGCACCAGCATCATCATCATCATCAGCAGCATCATCATCAGCAGCACCATCATCATCATCATCATCATCGCCAGCATCATCATCACCATCATCGGCATCATCGGCATCATCGGCATCCTCACCAACATCAGCATCAGCATCATCATCATTAGCATCATCAGCATCATCGTCACCAGCATGATCGTAACCATCATCATCGCCGGCGTCGGCAGCATCGGCAGCATCAGTCGCAGCGTCGTCGGCGTCATCGTCCCCGTCATGATCCTCTTCCTCGTCAGCAATAAACGTATATTCCTGAGTATCGCCACTAGCATGGTCAGCATCATCGTCATCCGCAGCAACAGCAGCAGCATCGTCAATTTTAGCATCGTTATCAGCGTCATCCTCATCATAACCATCATCATCAGCTTCTTCTTCATCATCATCATCATCATCATCATATCGTCATCCTCGTCGTCGTCGTCATCTGCATCATCGACATCATCACCATCACAATCATCATCATAGCCGACATCGTCACCGGAATCGTCATCGTGGTCATCATCATAATCAGCATCCTCATTGTCATAATCAGCATCGTAATCGTCCTCGTCCTGGTCATCGCCGTCGTCATTACAATCATTAGTATCATTATCATCATCAGCAGCAGCATCATGATCATCATCATAAGCAACAGCATCGTCTTCATCATCGTCATCATCATCATCATCAAGTTGCTGTCCGTCTGAAACGTCTCTCCTGACCATGCGTCCTCGTTCCTTCCGTCTCATCATCGTCAACATGCATAATATATTCCTGATGACCGCGACCAGCATCATCATCGTGATCATCATCATCGTGATCAGCATCACAGTCATCATAATCATCATCATCATCATCTTCATCATTGTCAACATCATCATCATCAACATCATCATCATTAGCACCATCATCGTCATCATCATCATACTCATCATCCACAGCAACGTCGTCACCAGAATCATCATCACAGTCACCATCGTCATCGTAATCGTCGTCGTAACCGTCAGCATCAACATCATCAGCATCACCATCATCAGCATCAACATCATCAGCATCACCATCATCAACATCATCACCATCACCATCACCATCACCATCACTTGCATAATCATCATCATATTCATCGTCATCGTCATCGTCATCGCCGCTGTTATTACCATCATAACCATCCTCATCATCATCAGCAGCACCATCATCATCGTCATCGTCATCGTCATCGCCATCGTCGTTGTCATCACCATCGATGTCATCGTCATCATCGTCGTCATCCTCATCATCATCATCCTCATCCTCCTCATCATCATCAGTATCACCAGCATCATCAACATCAACACCATGTTCTTGTTGCGCGTATCCTTATCAGTACTATTATTACTCCTCTTCTCGTTCTTCCTCACTGTCCCTCCTCCTCATCCGTCCTCTTTCCTTTTTTGGTCGCGGGCAGACGCGTGAAGCTGTCGCCGAAAGGGGGGTCCCGGGCACGGGCCAGCCTAATTAGCTACTGAGCGACGCGCAAGACGGCCGGGCCAGCACTCAGAAGCGGCGGCTGAGGGGTTGCTGCTGGTGGAACTGGCTGGTCCGCCCCCCTTCCGCGAAGGGACACGACAACGACGACGACCAACGGCGGCGGCCTTGCGCCGCCGCGCGCTCCAGCAGCGCGTCCAGGCGGGCGCGCACGGGCGACGCCCCGCTGGGCGCCGCGCCCGGGCGACCCGCCCCCGGCTCCATCGGCCGCGCGCGCGCCCGGCCTCACCCCGACGGCGCCGCGGCGCTTCGAGGAGCGAAGGGGGGGGGGACGATTCGAGGAGGAGGAGGAGGAGGAGGAGAAGGAGGACAAGGTGGAGGAGGAGGAGGAGGAGGAGGACAAGGTGGGGGAGGAGGAGGAGGAGGAGGTTCGAGGATGGAGGGCGTTTTTGCGCGCCATCGACCAGCCATCGCTCGGACGTCCGTTCCCCGTGCATGACTCGATGTCGCGCGCTCCTCTGTCAAGATGATCCCAGATGCGCCGCGATGGTCCAGACTTTCTGGCGCTGGCCTCTCCGACAACACAAAAAAAAGACCTCTGAGCGAAGCCCAGAGGCTTTCGGAAGGCTTCCAGATGCTCTCGGGCGGCTCCTGGAGGCTTCCAAGAGGGGGGCGGACCCCAAGGTTCCTGGAGGTTTCTGGCGGTCCTCGGCCAAGGTCGGAGGGTCTCTGAGGTTCCTGGCGGTTTCCCGACGGATGTTGGGCGGATTTGCCAATTCTCCGGCACGTGTCCGATGGTCCTTGAGGGTTCGAAGGGTCTTCGCACATTCTCGGATCTTCTGAGGTACAAGAGCTGCGCGGCCGACGACACCGCTGACGTGGTGCAAAGCTTCTGGGTTTCGGATGAGGGCCTGTCAGGCCCTCCAGCAAGGAGGAGGAGCAGCAGAAGAGAGGACTGAGGACAAAGAGGGAAAGCAAGATGGGAACAGACGACAACAACGACGACGACGACGACGACGAAGAAGACGACATCGACGACTACGACGACGACGACGACGACGACGACCACGATGAGGTGAAGAAGGATGGGAAACGAAAGACGCGGAGGAGGATACAGAAAAAGGGAGGTAGACCATGAGGAGGTGAAGGAGAAGAAGAAGGAAGGGAGGATGACGAGGAGGGGGAGGGAGTCAGAAGGGAACGACATGAAAGGAGAAGAAGCGCGCGGCGGCGCGGAGCGCACTGCAAAGGGGGGGTACACCGCACACTCTCCTCGCTGGCTCCTCATTACGCCATCGATGGCTATGGATCGGTGGCTCTGTGACTCCGTGTCCCTCCCTGTAGTTTCCTCAATGGCTCTCACTATCGCCACCGGTCTTGATGAATCCTAGGTGCTCTGCGCATCACACACACACACACTCTTTCTCTCTCTCGCTCTGTCTCTCTCTCGCTCTCCCTCTTCCTTACGTTCCATGACAGCTCACTGGCCCTCCTCCTCCTCCTCCTCCTCTACCGAATCTCGGTCCGCACTAAAAATCCAATATGTCCCTCTCGGTTTGTTTCGCCCCTACTGATACAGCGCAACAGGAAGACGTACAGACAGAAAGAATGCGAGGCACCAAATTAGCCAAGCGAAGGACCCAACCCAAAGCAGCTCCGAATAGTACAAAAAATAACCCTCTCTGTATACGCAACGCGCCGCGAAAAGGGAGAAACTCTCTGTGCGGCCGCTAAACGCGTGAGAGGCGTAACGAAACTTACGGGGGGGGGCGCATGGGATACCCTGCCGCTGAGGCCTTCGGTGGAGCTCCCTGTGGGGCCACGAAACGTGCGAGGGGCGTACCAGAATGGGTGGGGGAACGCTATGGAAGACCTACCACTGAAGCCAGTCGGTGAAGTACCCTATGAGGCCACGAAAACGTGCGAGGGATGTGCCAACATAGGTGGGAGGACGCTATGCGGCCACACCCCCTGGGGCCTTCGGTGAAGCTCCCTTACGGGGCCACGACAAGCGCAAGGGGCGTGCCGACACGGGAGGGGAACGCTATGTGGCCACACCGCCCTGGGGCCTTCGGTGGAGCCCCTTGCGGGGCCAAGGAACGTGTGTGGGGTGTGCCTACACGAGCGGGGGAACGCTATGCGGCCACACCCCGTGGGGGCATCGGTGAAGCCCCCTGTGGGGTCACGAAACGCGTGGGGATGTTCCGAGTGGACAGGCAGGGGGGGGCGCCATGCGGCCACACACCCTGGGGTCTTCGGCGGAGCTCCCTGGTGGGCCACGATACGCGTGAGGATTGTGCCGACATGGGCGGGGGTCACACTATATGGCCACACATCCTGGAGGTTTCGGCAAAGCTCCCTTATAGGGCCACGAACCGCGTGAGCGGTGTGCCGAACGGACAGGGGGGGACGCTACGCGGCCACACCGCTAAGTGGTTCAGTGGAGCTCCCTGTGGGGCCACGAAACGTTTAAGGTGTTTGCCGAAAATGCTTCGCGGAGGACAAAGGAAAGAGGAGAGAGAGAGAGAAGGGGAGGAGGTGAGGCGCAGTGTTGCTGATTCAACCTGAAGGCAACGAGCTCTGGCTGGTTTTGAAATAAGCACAACTGCTGTCTGCAAATGCACGAACCTAGCTAGACATATGCATAGAAGGGCAGAGAGAGAGAGAACGAAAGAAATAAAGAAAGAGAGAGAGAGAGAGGGAAACAGGTGTTCTATGGCATGAAGAGTAAACGAAGGAGACATGGTTGCGCAAGTGAAAGATTCCACCAATGCACGTACAATACAAAACGGGATTGACTTCCCAATGTTGGCATCACCGCCTCCCCCTCCTCTACGTTCGCACGTAAGACTCGTCCCGCCGCCACGCTGCAGGCACTGGGCTGCGTGCTATGATCGAGCTCCCAGCAGAAACGACCATTCCCCCTGGCACGGTGAGGCGTGGCGCAATGCCAAGTGTTGGAGGCCTGGATATTGGCACCAACACCAGCACAGGGGGGTGCCTCCACATCGACAAGATGATCCTAGATTACGGTGTTGGTGGTAATATTTCGGTCACCTTGGAAGCCAGGATATTACCACCATCACCGAGATCGGGATCTTCTTCCCTCGGTGGAGGCACACCGCCGAAATTGGTGTTGGTGTCAACCTCTAGTTCTGCGAAAGTGGCTGCATGGCAGAGTACATGTAGATGTAGAAACAACAAAAAAAATCTGCTCACGCTTACGTGCGTGCACTGCCCCGCTCCCGAGGCTTCATGGGCGGCCCGACGCCACCCTCTGGGGCTCCCCAGGGCTCCCCGAGGCTTCCGTCACGGCTCGGGGGGGCTAACAAGATGGCCAAAGATTGCTCCAAGGGGCACCCAACAGACCCCACTACTGCCCCAAGAGAGTCGTTGCACCGGCCTTGCAGACGTGCTGCAGCTGATTTCTGCGCGGGTTCCTGCGAGGATGTTTGCCCGAAGCGGCGAGCGAAAAACGAAGGGAATTTCGCCGTGGATTATTTGTGTTCTTCATTCCTGGCCAAAAACGATCCGCACGAAATTCACCTCGAAATCCCGAACGAACTTCTCCAGGACACCCCGGGCCCACCCTATCGTTTTCCGAACGCAATCCGCTCTGCGCGATGTTAGCGCCATGACAGGAGGCGCCAAAAATGGCCCCAAGAGCTTTGAAAACCAAAGACGAGGCCAGGAGGCCCCCCCGAAAAGCCAACATCCTTCAACTCCACAAACGAAGCCTTGGGTGTCCGCACAGTTCGCGCGCCCCGCAAGACTAACGAGAAACCAAAAAAGCTCAACGAGGGCCTCCAGAAAAAAAAACACGACGGCCCAGGACATCCCCGGGAGGGTCCCAAGACGGCACAAGAGAGGCCCAGGACAGCCCAAGAGTTCCCAAGATGGCACAGGAGGCTCCCGTGAGGCTCCCCAGATGGCCGAGAAGGGCCCAAGACGGCCAATAGGCGGCATCAGGGCAGCCCACGATGGGTGCCGTCAAGTGACTCGAGCCTGAACTGAACCGATCCACATCTTGGGGCGCGGAAAGATACGGATACGTGTTGTCCCCGGACCTCTCTTGGGGTGCGTTCTGACCAGAATTTCGAGGCGAATCCAGCGGTGCCAACGAGGATTCCCCAGGAGGACCAGGAAGGGCCGAAAACGAAGGGGGACAACGCGTATCCGTATCTTTTTCTCCCCCGAACATCTTGAAGGCCCTGAAGGGGGAGGAGAAAGTCGCTGCCAACCACACCGTGGTCACGAAGTCCCAGGGAGAGAGAGAGAGCACGGCGGGCCGCCACGGAGGCGGGCCTCCCGCCGGCGGATGCCCTCCTCGCGAGGCAGCAGTGGCCCTCGAGGGGCACTCTGACCCAGGGAAGAGGCCCTTCCGAATCTGCTGAAGGCTCTCGTGCCTTTGCTCGGAGGGAGACAGGGTACATTCACGGAATGAGTAGCGGGAGAAATAGGAGGAGGAGGAGGACGGGGGGAGGAGGAGGGGGAGAAGTAGGAGAGAGGGATTCTTGTCCCTCTTGTCCCTCTTGTCCCTCTTTCGCTCGCTCGGTCCCTCGGTTCGCCCCATCCTCGGTCCCCCTAGTCTTGTCCTCTTCCCCCCGTCGTCCCGCTCGCTGGCCCCATCAACGGCCGTCCGAGCCCTCTTCCCCAAGGACCCCCTCGCACACACGACCGTGGGGCGGAGAGGGACGGCGGCACCTGACTCGGGACAGAGACCACCAGCTTCGAGCTTCGGGGAGGGGAGGGGAGGGGAGGAGAGGGGAGAGGAGGGGAGGGGAGGGGAGGGGAGTGGAGGGGAGGGGAGGGGAGGGGAGAGGAGGGGCGGGAAACAAGGCAAGAGGAGAGGAAGGGGCCCGACGGATGGCCCGCGCGCGCACTGCGACACGACGCGAGCGCGGTGCGGGGGCGGGCCCTTTCCGGCGGGGCGTCCCGGGCGATCCCCGAAGATCTGGGCGGCCGAGGGGTCGGAGAGAGACGCATGAGGATAAGGATAAGGAGGAGGAGGAGGAAGAAGAAGAAGAAAAGGAGAGGACGAGGAGGAAGGAGGAGGAGGAGGAGGAGGAGGAGGAGGAGGAGGAGGAGGAGGAGGAGGAGGAGGAAGAGATGGATGAGGGAGGAGGAGACGGAGGAGGAGGAGGGAAGGGGGGAGAGCAGGAGAAGAAGGAATGCGGGAAGGGGGGGCTACGTCTCTCCTCAACGTGTTCCTCCTCCATGCGTCTACTCCTGTTCTGGCTCATATTTCCGATCCTCTCCTCCCCGTCCTCCTCGTCCGCCATCTCCACCCAATCCTCATCCGCATCGTCC